TTCCCTAATGCCTACCTCACCCATAATCATTCTACTTCATTATAAAAGATGAGCAACAATTAAGGTCCAGTTTATGTATCAAACCTGTAGCAAGCAAACACAGATCTCTAAGCAACAAGCTTTATTTTAATACCTTACAAAAATCAGTGAGGGAAAAAGGCTTATCATAAATACCGGTTCCGTTAAAAACAAACACACTCACATCTGGAAGGTTCTGCTGTAAACAAAATGGGTAAAAAAAGGCTGAAAGTCAGATCAAAGTTTAGCCAGACTCTGCACCCTAAGCTGGCCAAGTCCTCGCAGGTTGCCACTGGTAAATGACACACCAGGAACACTCTGTCCCCCGTGGGGAACGGGGCAAGTAGAGGGAAAGTGCTCTGGCAGACCCTGGGGAATCAGGAAAATGTCACTCGCTAATTGGACACAATTTATAAAGTATTGCAAGAATTAAGTTTCAACCCCAAAAGGAACTGTCCATGCAATCATTTAAAGGCAAAGAAATTTTGCTGAGAAACTATTTTTAGAAATAAGGACGGAATTAACTCTTTGTATCTTGTAGGAGGAATACGTAGATCAGTTTAGCCCTTCTGTGTGACAACAGTAAGGGTGATAGTATACAAAGGCCTTGGTCACTGCACTAATCAAAACTGTTCCCTGGATTCCTCCCATGCATCCGCATCCAAATATTGCATTTTTTCTTGCATTAAAAATATAAACTCCCAGTGAGTCCTATCGGTTTTATTGGTACAGCTCACAGAAGAACATGGTCTCGATCCATAACTAAGGTTCCAAGGCACCCACAGCAGTAAAACCAGAAACAACAAACATTTCATTTTCTGAAGTCAATTATTCATAGCTCTTTTAGGCTTCTAGGAGAGGAATTCCTCCATCTAGGTCTGGCTCCTGGTAAACTATCACCAGCACTGAGGAGTCTCCGCCATGGGTGAGACTCTTCATTGTTCCTGAGGTGTATAGCTGTGAGGGGATGGGAAGAAAAATGATGGATGTTTCCTTAACTACCTAGGAAAGGGATCTGAAAATCAAAAGAAAGATTCTGAACCGAACTTTAATTAATGAGAAATGAACAGTATGTAGAACTCAGGTAGGTGAGGTGCCATTTAGAGCTTTCTCAGGGGGTTTCTGCTTGATGCAAATATAATGCATGGTCGTAACCACATCAGAAGTCCCAAACACCAACTCTAACATGCACAGGAACCCCAGTTAAAAGAAGAGGCAACAAGTATCAGTGGTGGGTGCAAAGTGACCCGGGTAGCCTCCCAGGCACAAATACCACAGGTCAGTTCTGCCACCTTTAAAGATTTTTCTGAGTAAAATATAATGAATCTCCACCAGCCAGAGAAAAGGTAACGAGCCCTTCTGGATGTTACAAGTCACTGCAGGAGGAAGGTATGTGAGAGCCTACTTAGTTGCCAGGAAAAATAATACCACGTAAGCTTATTTGTAAGATCTTAAAGACAAAGCATTTAACAGCTGTTTTCAGATGATTTCGCCTCCATCCACCCTTCCTTAGGAAGAGGTTTGGTGCTGGAAACATACCCTCCATTAAGAGTAGGCGTCAAACCAAACAGCGTGCAGAGCCCAACGGACATGAGCAGAGAGCTGAGCACCGTCACGACCGCTGCCAGTGCCAGACCCCATTTCGATTTCACCATGTCAATCTTCCCTGAAAAACAGAATGCAAAGTCTCAGTTACCAAGCAAAAGAAAATGACATATTAATAAAAAATCAAGAAGGGGTCCTTATCCTGACTTATTTCAGCAGGTAGCTTAGTACCCCGCGACCCAGCAGTAATGGTAGTGCAGTCTCAGTGTCTGAAATGCAGCTCCCAGATCCTCCAGTACGTGAGAGGTACTGGATCAAGGGTGGAACAGAGGAAAATGCATGGCTTACAGCTCAAACTAGTTCCAATACAGCACTGTTGCGGCACGAAAAAAGGAACTTATGTGGCTAATAAGGTCTAAAACCACCAGCTCAGAACCTGTATTTGATCTGTCTGACAATGAATTAATCTCTCTAAACTGAAAAAAAATGTCATTACTATGATGGCATTAAAGCTGCCTCAGACAGAAGACATCTCAGAAGATATCACAAGGAATGAATAACCCCACACTGGCTAAGAGGGACAAGTTAGCAGAAATCAGATAAACATGACTACTAATTCTCTACATGACAGTTCAGGGAAAAATTTC